ATAGGTCTGTTTATATTGCTTGTCTGTTTTTTATTTAATTTTGAAAAGTGGTATCTATTCAGAAAATTTTCCGTTTCCTTTAAATTTTGGAATTTTGTGAAGTACAGATTTTCAAGATATGACCTGAAGATTCTCTCTATTTCCTCAATGTCTGTTGTTATGTTCTCCTTTTTTATTGGTGATTTTGTTAATTTGCATATCCTCTTTATGACTTTTCACTAGTTTCCATAAAGGTTTTTCTATCTTGTTGATTTTCTCCAGGAACCAACTCATTGCTACAACAATTTTTGTATTGTTTTTCTTTTTGTTTCAACTTTATTGATTTCAGCCCTCAATTTGATTATTTCCTGGGCTCTACTCCTCTGGGGTTAGTTTATGTTCCAGAGCTTTCAGTTGTGCTATTAATTCTCTAGTGTGACTATTCTCCAGTTTCTTCATATGAGCACTTAGTGCTATGAACTTTCCTCTTAGTGCTGCTTTCAAAGTGTCCCATAAGTTTGGGTATGTTGTGTCTTCATTTTCATTGAATTCTAGAAAGTCTTTAATTTCTTTCTTTATGTTTTTATTGACCCAGGAATGGTGCAATTGTGCATTGTTCCATGAGTTTGTAGGGTTTCTGCCGACATAGAGGAGACCCCAAGCCCACCCATTGGAGGACAGAGGACCTTAGCAGATAGCTGATGTCCAGAGTCCCTCAGCTGCTGTCCCCAGGACCTAAATCGATTCAGGGGAGGGTGGTATCTGCTGTGCATGAGTTGGTACCTGAGGCCTGGTTGAGGAAAATCCAGCCCAGGGCTAGACCTCAAAAAAGCCATAGCCACTCCCAGCCCATGTCCACAGGATCTGCAGGGCTGTGGCTCCGGCTTCATACAACATCAAGCTGCACTCAGGAAGAGTTGTGAGGCTCTTTAGAGGCAAAGAAACATACTGAATATGTGGAACTGAAGGATTGAGGCACAGAGAGGTTAAGAAGCTTGCCTGGGGTTACAGCCCTCAGTCCAGCAAGGATCTAATCTACATCGGCATTAAGACTCAACCCACAGTCACATTGCCCCTTTTCTTACCCGTGTCTTCCTCAGAGTCAACTAGGCCTTGTGGTTGCAGTTTTCCAGGTCAGTACATTTCTAAAGCTGAAGACTGGCCATGGAAAAAACCTCACAGACCCCTACAGCACCCAAACTCTAGGAGACCATCAGACCAGGTGCTGGATGTAGGACAGTGAGAATTCAGATGCCTCCTGAAGTCCTGGGAAGAGAGACCTCAGAGAGGCAGAGTATGTGAGAGATCAGTGCTTTGCTTGCATTTTGAGGTCAGTGCATTCTGGGGGGATGGTAGAGAGGCACCTAAGGGATGCTTACTGCTCCAATAGCCATGCTTCTCCACAAGCCATTGGGATTCTTTGTATGCATTTACATTTGTATGACAGTGTGTAACCATCCATTAAGGTCACAATCTTCTAATGAACCGGAGATCAAGGGACTAGAGAAAAGATGTGAGGTCCTGCTGAAGCAGAAGGAGATGGTCATTCAGGAAAACGTTTTGGAAGAAAAGCTGCAGCATCCCTTTGAGGTTTCCCAGATGAGGTAGGAGGCCAGGCTGGGAGGATGAGGTATAGCCAAGTGAGTCCCCTGTAGCTGGTAGCTTTGTCTTTTATAGGCTTCCTCCCACATGCACGGCTCCCAGGCAGAACCAGGAAAGATAACCTCAGAGACATGTGCCATTCCATTCACAAGAATTTCTGTCCAGGAAACAATGCATTTCATACTGAATGTGTCTGAAGAATTGAGTCTCCCTTCTTCCATTCTGAATTCTCTGTGTTCTGAGCAGGAGGTTCTTGACCTGACAGTGTTTTGTCGGCTTCAGCATGCCTGGTTGAAATTGCAATTTTATGTAGGAAAATTCCCTGTACATAAGAGATTCCTACCTTTGAACATGGTTCTCTGCAACATTTACCCATTTCCTGTGCACAATTGTTCTCTGGACAGAATAGGTTAAGGATGTTCCAGGATGAACTGAGGCAGATGCCTTAGCTTCAGGGAAGATCATATACTTCTCGGGACTGTTCTGTAACAGATTCCCAAAGAGATTCAGGATGCCAATTCCCAGCTCTATTCCTCATGAAATCACAAGTTTCTGTTTTGTCCCAGAACCAGACAGCACAGTGTCAAGTCACACATCCCAGGAAACATTGCTGTAGCATGGAAGGCTCTGTCTTGCTTCTTGCTCAATTTTAAAATACCTCCTGAATGTGAGGACTGAGCTAGCCTCATGACCGTGTTACAATTCTGTGTGTCTGTGTATAAAATGATGCTGCTGATTGTTAGCTCATAATGGATAACATATGTATTGCTCGGATGCTTACAACCCTCATCAGTATTCTAGTGTCCACAAGACTCCATCCTCTAGGCTGCTTGCATGCCTCCAGGGATGGAATCTCATCCGTTCATGGCAGCCTGAGGGTGCTTTCCTGTCAGGGATCTATTTAAGTTTGGCCTAGAGCTCCTAGCTGTCAATTATCTGGAATGACAGGTAGCACACTAAGCTAACTCACACAGCTGCCTTTTGAGACGTTAATAGTATCTCACGTCCTACAAAGTCTATGGAGTGTGCCATTTCTGACTTGGCACTGAAGGCCAGGGAGCATCCTGCCACCTGCCCTTGGGTCTCTGCATGCCTCTCACCCTTGCTAAATACCAAGCCACACACGTATTGACACTTGTCTGCAGCCTGAACTTCTGGGTCAGACATCCTACCTCTCCTGAGTAGAATTCCATGTCTGTATCTATTTCCCCTTCTAGAGCTTTAGAGGAGTGTGGGGATGGGCATATATTCAAAAGAATACCCAGAAGGGGAGCATTTCTGGAAGGTATGTGGCCTTGAACCAGTCACCAAACCTCTCTGAGTCTTGATAGCAGGAAGATGGGAAAGACCTGTGAGGATGTGAGGTTCCAGCTGATGGTCTACAGAGAGACAAGTAGCCAGGGACACAACAGTATCCACTTCTCTTTCTCAGCAGCCTTCCATCTGCCCACCTTCACCCCATTTCCTCCTGGAACTCCTGGATGAATGAGAATGCTGAAGAGTGAGATAATCCTCAGTGCAGGCCCTAACCCCCACACCTTCCCTGGGGTCCAACCTCAGAACATTCATTTCCCTTCCCACCTGGGACACTTTCCATTCAGTCCCTGTCCTCACTGCCCATCAGCAGAGCAGGTGAAGTGATGTCCCATCCCCCAAAGAAACAGCACTCCCAACATGGTTCAGCCCATTTCCAAATAATTTTCTGCCCCCTCTGACTATGACTGATACCCATAGTCCCATTGTCTCTGGATCTGTCCCAGCAAGCTCTGACCCAAGTGAGCTCTGGGTTTTGTGTTGAGATGAGTTGGCCTAGCCATTACCAAGAAAGGATTTTTGGCCTCCTCCCTTGTATTTATGCCTAAAATTTTCCCAATTGGCTCTGGCTGGGGCAATAGAAGCTGCCTAGTGATATGTTCCAGTCTGATCGTGAGGTCTGCCAACAGTCCACTATGTCCAATGGTAGAATAGTAGGTCGGTACAGGTGAGTAGTTCACTGCACTACAGTGCTTTACTTTGCTCCCAATACAACCCATGGCCCAACCTGTGCTGCTGGTTGGCCAGCTGCAAGGTGAGATGTAACCCTGCCATTCACTTAGAAGCAGGTAGCTAACAGAGACCATAAGGCAGTTCAGTGCCTGAGGGCCAAGGAAACTCCCCCCGGAGCTATGGGTCTCTGAGCTGGATTTGAAGGACAATGAAAGTTTGTGAAGCATTCATAAGAGCATGTAGGGATTGGGTCAAAGGAAGCAGCAGGTGCAAAGGGTCAGAGACATGTCCTTACAGCTCTTTCTGATTCCCTGGTGTTTCTTTTCCACAGCTATTCATGCACAGCTCCTATCTGTACCTCATTCCATGGCCAAGAACTCAGTCCACTCCAGTTAGCCTCTATGTTGCTGTTAGGAATTAGCAAATGGAATGGAATGGAGCTGTGGACCCCCATGTTACCACCATCTCTGAAGCCCAGTAAAGGTATACTTGTGACAACCTCTTTCCTCAAGTTCCCAATAGAGAGAAAGGATGTAGCAGCTCTGAGAGAACTAAGGTGTTCAGAGTATATGCTGAGTCCCAAGGGGACAGCCTAGACAATACAGAAGTATTGTAGGCCAAAGTCACCACGTCATTTCTGGTGGAATTTGGGGTGTGCTAATTTTGTTCATGTGCTATGAATGTGGGCATCCATGTCTCTCAGCCCCTATTACCTTGGCTCTGGGTCTCCATTTGGGTGACACCCTTGGATGCACAGACAGCCATGGACCAAGAGAAGCCTCCCAAATTGTGTTGTTTCTAGTGCTGTCCTAGGGCCATCTTGATTAGCATCAGGGAAAACCTCAAAAATGTAGGAGGTCAGGATCCACTTCTCAGGCTGACCTACACTACTTACAGGAGAAAAGTCTTCTGGACTTGCAGAGACCTAGGAGTCTGCATCCACTCTTTGCCTACTAGGAGGGGCTCATCACAGCTTTTCTAGGAAAGCTCTCACTTTGGAGCACGGGCAGCTTCTCTGGAGTTTTAACAATGTCCACACTGTGCAGAGTCTGGTCAGATCTGCTCAAAACTAGGATAGTACGCTAATGTTATCAAAAGGCAGAGGCTGTGAGGAACATATGAACATGATAGGAGTAACATGATGTCTTTGTTGATCCTTTTGATTTTCACATTGACCCCCTTTCTCACATTCATTAGGCATGGCATCAATTGAGGCATGTCACCCTTCAGCATCAGTGACCCAATGGAGTCCTAGTGCAGAGGGGCCTCCGGGTGTGGATGTGTGATGAATCAGGATGTGGGTGGACAAGTTGGTCCCTACAATCTCAGTAAACATCTGGCCACAGGGCTCAGTAGGATCCTGACCTTGTGGGAACCACTCAGATGGAACCTGTGTCATACATACATACATACACATACAAATATGACCTGGACTAGCCAACATGCATTCTTGACTCAGTAGTATTTAATTGCTCATGATGAATAAGAGGGCTCTTGAGGAAGGAATGAGACATTACTCACCAATGTTTAGAAAGTATAGCTCTGTTCTCCACATGGGAAGTAATATGGGGCTTCCATGCAAGCTAAGGAAACTCTGGATTTGGGAGGAGGAGTTGCCGGATGGCTTACCCCACATTCCAAGACAGGATCCTGGAAAGGGAACTTGGGATTTTGGTACATTCAGGGAGTAATAATTAGCAGGGTGGCAAAGGCACCATGACATCAGCAGGCCCTTCCCTGGGCATTCTATTGTGTCCTGGAGAGCTCAGGGCATTCCATGATGTCACCAGTGTTGTAGCAACACCAACTGTGCTTAGGGCATTACTTCAGTGACTCTCTGGATTATCATTAGAGATGTTGTCAAGACTGAGGTCTCTGAGAACATGGAGAACATCCAGAGACTAGAGAGAGGCAGAAAGAAGCTGCTGTTAGGTATCAAAACAAAGCAGGAACAAATAAGTGATCCTGGTGTAGACACAGTGAGTTCTGGGCAGGAGATGGGGAGGTTCCTGTGGGAGGTGGGCTTGAGCTAGACCTTCCAGTAATGGGACAGAGACGCTGGAGCCTCTGGAAAGCAAATGGACTTATCATATTTCCTGATAGTCCATGATTCCAGACCATGAGTTTGTCTGTTCCCTAAGCCAGGCCCCGGGCAAGGCCAAGGCTGTTGTGCTGGGAGCACCTAGATTTTTCCTTTAGCACACTCGGTAGTGTAATGTGGGGGCCACAGGATCCTACCTGGAGTCAGTAGGGACTAATGTGTCCCCAGATGTGGGCAGGCATCACTGCACTTCACCCTCAGCAGTTTTCTTTGGGTGCAGTGACTGTGTGACACCAGTCACATGGAGAGAAGAGTACTTCCGGCTAAGACTTTATGTCCTCAGACTGTACAGCAGAACTCCTCTATTCACGTCTCCCTGACAGTGGCCCCCTTAGACTACTGAATCTGCAGTTGAGGTTGGCAGTCGGTACTCTAAAGTAGTCAAACAACTGTCAGAGCATGCCTCCAGGGCAGCAATGGTCTCCTTCATGCCCTCTTCCATGTTCTGGGCCATCAGTGATGTGGGGTGACTTGGTGAATCTTTTGACCATGTTGTGTCCCTGTGTGACTTTTCAGTTCACATCCATGGACCTGGAATGAACGGGCAGGGGATCTGGGCTCCTCACAGCACCTGAGAGCTTGTGCACTTTGCCATGTCTCCTGGCTTTTGAAAAGACAGGCAGGCTTCAGGGCTCTGGACCATGCTGCACGCGGTGTCACTGTAATTAATCCTGAAAGGTGGTCTCTGTGTTCACATGAGGCATGTAGAGGGAGGTAGAGGAAACCCCTGACCACTTATATAACCACATATCCACAGAGTGTTAGGAGAGCTGTGATCCACAGAGGGGGCATCTCAACCAGACCCAAAATTATTGAATTGCCACAGGAGCCCAGACGGGATCTTTCTGTTTGGACCTCAGGGTGGTCTCTCCATTCTCTGTGAGACCATAAAATTTCACTTGTGTCCATATACCCACAGAGGCTCCTACAGAGCCATCATCCCTGCCAACGCTCCTCACCAAGAAACAAGTGAAGAAGGAAATAGAGAGGATGACCACAGAGCTGCAGCTGATGACCAACCAAAGGAATGAGCTACGAGATCGCCTGCTCTTTATGAGTGAAGGAACTGTGGATAATAGGTATTCATTGTTTCATACTGCACAGGACTGTCCACACTCACCGCCACCTCCTTTCTTTTGAGGTCTCATGTTCCATAGAGACACCTGACTTTAGCTCATGGGAGCTCACCGACTCTGGACCAACAGTTAGGGAGCCTACATGGAACTGACCTAGGCCCTTCCACATGTGTGTGACTGTTGTGTAACTTGGTGTCATTGTAGGGATTCTAGAAGTGAGATCAAGACCTGTCCCTGGAGCTTAGCTGGCTTGTGGGACCTCTTCCCTATGCTGGATTATTTTATGTAGCCTTGATGCAAGGCAAGGTGCTCAGTCCTTGCTCAAGCACATTGGAGGCTGGCACCCTTCTGAGTGGAGATGAAGGAGGACTAGAAGGGGGAGATAGGAAGCAGGGTGAATGCAGGGAGACCTGGAGAGTAGGACAGAGGGGAAAATGCAGGTAGTATGCAAAATTAGGAAAAATATGCTATTTAAATAAAACAATAACCTTGAGTTAAAAAAAGTTCCTAGGTTCTAGAAGGCTGCATCTCCATAGTGACTCTGTAGCCACCTCATGACCTAATTTCTTCTCAGAGGACAGGCAAACCTGAAACTTTGGAGTGAGTGAGATGGGAACTCTGACTTTCTCCAAATGGAAACCAGAGACTGTGGTCTCAGTCACGTAACTCAGGGATTGAGTCAGTAGTGTGGGAGTTCCCAGCATGCATTTGTGAGTTTTTGGTGAACCTTTAAACTTTCCTGGCAGGTGACTGTTTGCTGGAAAATCCTGGTAGCAGCTTGTCAGCAGGCATGATTCCACTTGGTCCTTCTCAGTTTTGAACAAAAAGTCCTGGGACTCATCAATGTTTTTTTTCTAGTTTTGTGCATTATACTCTTAGACAATAGTGATCCATACAGTACTTTAGCAGCTTATTATGGTTGTTCCTCCTCTCGGTGTCTCCTCACCTTCTCTCTCTCTCTCTCTCTCTCTCTCTCTCTCTCTCTCTCTCTCTTTCCTCCCTTCCTCCCTCCTCTCTCCCCCTTCCAGTCTCCCTCCCCACTCTGCTCCCCTCTCCCTTGCTCTTTCTCTCCCCACTCCTGTCTCCCCTCAGAATCCCCCTCCCCATCTCCCTTTCCCTCTTCTTCCCCTTCTCTCTCTCCCTCATGTGTTCATACATGCATTTGCAGGATTGTGTATACTGAAGGAATCTGGGAAACAGGACAATGGTGGGGCCTGAGGATTTGCCTGCGTCAGTTTCCAGGCTATGATACTGCTGAGGTGTGGGAGCCCCACTTTAAGCATCAATGTTCTTGTCCTAAGTTCTCACCATGGTGGCACTTAGCAAACCCTTGGAAAGTTTATATAGCTGTCCTAGTGTTGGGTCTCAACCCGAGAATTACGTGCTGTAACTTATCGGCAATAGTCACCTGGGTCATAGAATCACTCTTCTAAATCAGGAGAAACCTCATTGCAGTATCTGGTGTGCCAAGACCTGAGTCATAGACTCCTTGTAACATAGTTGCTAGATCCACAAACCCTTTGTGAACTCCTGCATCCAGGGCAACCTCCATCTGGACACCCAGCCACTGCTGTCCCAGGGACAGGATAGCAAGTTTAAAAGCACCAGGAGGTTCCAGTACTTAGCAGTCAGAATGTGGCATCCACTGGGCTGTGGCAGACCAGGATATAACTAGAGTTCACATGACACTTGAGGCCTGTGGTCATGGATTCTTTCCTTCTGGTTCTAGACCCTACCACAGGCCAAATCCATTCTATGAGAAACTGAAGTTGGAGCATAAACAGGTCCTGTGGGAACTAAAGGTTTTTGAGAATGAGAAAACTGAGGTCTCAGAAAAGTTCAGTGAGCTGAACAAGGAGACAGTCTTCTATCGGTAAGAGCCCATCTTGGCCTGGATCCCATGAGTTGTGGAATGGCCACCTCTGCCTTGTGTTTTCTCTGGACTGGAGAGCCCACAGCTATGGTTCTAGCCTTTCTGCTCCTTAGCAAGCAGCTCTTGGATATGTGTCTCTTGGACTCAGTTTTGCTAAGTGTGAAAGAGATTGAAAGCCCCTGCCACCATTGTCCTAGGGCCTCAGGATCCTCTAGATAGAAATGCAATTTGCACTGTGAGGAGCATGTCAGGAAGCCCTGGGCTTCTGGAGTTCAGGCCAAGGCTTTAGAGCTCTGGGGATTTGGAACCTGTAGATATTCACCTTGGGTCTCCTGTCCTCACTTGGAGGGCATTTGCCTCTACTTGCTGATGCTTCCTCTTACAAGGACAGTAGGGGGATCCACTTTCTATTCAAGGGACATGGATCCCTTTTGGAGTTGGGGTTATCCATAGTAGTTTGAGTATACCTGGTAGTAGCTTTTCTCTCAGTTTGCCTCCCCCCCAAGTACAGCTGTCACAGCCATATCAGACTTTTGGCTGTGTCTTCCTGGACACATGAGGCCTTTCGGGGTGGTGATTCCTGGAGGCAGGGGTAGAAGCAGGAGGCTGCTGGGCCTTACCATGCAGAGTGTGTCTCTAGAGGTTGCACAACAGGATCCTGATGGAACAGACTCAGGGGCACAAGAAGCTGAACAGGCTGAGGTAGAAGAAAAAGAAACTGCAGGAGGATTGGGTCCTGATGAAGCACCACTTGGAGGACTTGGACTTGATCTGTAAGAACCAAGACAATGAGACCAGTGACCTGAAAATTTAACAATAACAGGTAGGGGGCAGGTAGATGGTAAAGGTTTAGGTTTGCACCATTTGGCCACATACATGACTGCTTGTCTGCCCATTCAGCCATCTGTGATTTCACCCATCATGTCACTCATCCACACTCCTATCCAGCTACCTTCTCATGGTACCCAAGTATTCATTTCAGTGTCCATGCACAATTACCTGTGGGAATTTAGCCTCTTGTAAAGCTGAATTATTGGCAACATCCCTGTTGCTCTGCTTGAAGCTGCATTCCAGTGAAGGAGATAGTTCAGTAACATATCACACATCTACATGTGAATATTATGTTTAGGATTATTTTTCCTTTTGGTTTTTCAAGACAGGGTTTCTCTGTCTGTCCTGGAACTCACTGTGTAAACCAGCTAGCCTTGAGTTCACTGAAATCTGCCTGCCTCTGCCTCCAGAGTGCTGGCATTAAATGCATGAACCACCACTGCCCCAGGACAGTTAGGATTCGAAGCACAGAACTTTCAGTGAGTGAGTTCCTGGGGCTCATTTGCTTGGCAAGTGTATTGTGATATCACAATAGGGAGCAGTTTGGAAGGAGGAGAACCCCATGCACATGCCAAATGTGTACTTTTCATGGTCAGTGATTTGGGTGGCTTGGGGCTTTCTCATCTCTTCCTGCTTCCAAATGTGTTCTCTTCCATTAGCCCAGCTCTTGCTTCATAGTGATAGAAGGCGCACTAGCAGGTTGTTAGCCCTGTTTTCTGTAAGTGGTGCTGCACATTTCTCCCATCCTGGACTATATATCTGGGATTGAATGGGTCATCAGATGGGATCTTTGATAATCTGGTGGTGGAAGATGGGAGAGCTGGAAAAATTCCCTATCTCAACATAATCAAGCCAAGAAAATCATCACATTTTCCACAGTAGTATTAACCCCTATGTATGATGGTTGAGTTGTGAGACTGACTATTCTAAAAGTGTTGGCAAGATTTGTCTCAACTCAAGGTCATCTGCCATGATATTCCTATCTACTAGCTCCTTTTTCCCTATCTTTTTCTCCTTTCTCTCTTTCTTTCATTGTGTGCCTGGGTGCATTTTCTGGCTGCATTTGTGTGTGTGTGTGTGTGTGAGAGAGAGAGAGAGAGAGAGAGAGAGAGAGAGAGAGAGAGAGAGAGAGAGAGAGAGAGAGGGAGAGGGAGAGGGAGAGGGAGAGGGAGAGGGAGAGGGAGGGAGGCAGGGAGGGAGGGAAAGAGAAAGAGAAGGAAAGAGAGAGTATGTTTTTGTGTATTTAAGCATGTGGGTGTGATGTTACATTATGCCTGAATGCATTGACCTAAGGAGACCACTGATTTTCATGTCAGTCTCTACCTTGAATCAATGTTTATTATTTCCTTGGATGTCTACTCTTTTACTAGACATGCTGACCAGCAAGATATTGGGACCCTTTGTATGTGTTTACATTGATATGACAGTGTGTTACCCTCCTTAAGAACACAATCTTCTAATCAATAGGAGTTCAAGAGATTGGAGGAAAGACTTGAGGTTCTACTGAAGCAGAAGGGCATGGTCATTCAGAAAAAGGATTTGGCAGAAAAGCTGCAGCATCACTTTGATGTCATCCAGATGAGGTATGAGCCCAGGCTGGGGTGGGGAGCGGTAGAGCCAAGTACAAATTATTCTCTTGATAGTGTAGGCTAAGGACTTTTTAGGTTGAAAGTTGGGTTACCTACAGGTAAGATTGTTACCTTCTTGGTAGTGTTCTGCCACTGCCTACCAAAGAAAGTTTCAATGTCAATTGCTAGCTTTATTCCTAATTCCTAAGGCCATCACGAGTTTCTGTTTGGTCCCAGACAGAGCCAGTGTTTACAGGGACATGTCTCAGGAAATGCTTCTCTATCATGACAGGCTCAATCTTGTGTGCTGCTCATGTTCAAGGTGCCTCCTGGATATGAGAATTGAGCTAGTTTAGTGACATTGTTCAGATTCCCATGTTACAGGGCTGTATTATATATCTGTATAAATGATATAGTAATAAATAATGCATCATGTGTAACTTGTATATGCTCATAAGCTGTTGTCTATTATGTTAATATGTTGTTGCTCTTAACAATATAATTTTCCTGAACTGTAGGAGAAGGTCCTATACTTTCTAGTAGAAAGTACAACATCTAATGCTTAGTTTAAGTCATGACATGTGTTTAGGCCTGGAAAAAGTTACAAGTCCAGCTACTCTGTGATCCTTATTCTTTGGGGGTACCAACAATGACATCAGTCAAAAGATCAATGTTGACTGTCCAGCACAGCTGAGGTGGAGGGAGGGAGGAGCTGAATAGTTGACAAATCAGGTTTCCACCTGGCCTGTGTCTTAACTGCTTTCCTTTCCAAGGTCCACCCAGCCTGAGCTGGAACAGGATACAGTCCAGGATGGGAGACATTTGCAGAAGGAGCTGCTACAGCAAGAGGAACCTGCTGAGCCCCATCCCCAGCAAGTCCTGAAGTCCTCAGATGCAAGAGAGGGATTGCTACACTCATCTAGGAATAACCTGTTAAAATATGTGACTTACATGCAAGGCCAGCCACAGGCTGTAGGTATGTGCCTTTCAAACTGTAGCAAGATAATGATGCTTATCTCAGTTTTTCCTTTTGCTTTTGGTTTATGTTTTTGCTTTTAATTGTTTTGCAATTTTGATGCTTTTTGTTCTTGTTATTGTTTTTCATAATTTGCTTAGGGTGATCTCTGTTTGCACTGACTGCCATTTTATATTTCCTGGTGAAAAAAAATCTTTTTATGCATAAGAATACAATTTTCAACTCTACTCACTTAACACTCCTATAACCCCAGCACTCACATGTATAAGTGGATCTCTGCAGGTTCCATGCAGTGTTGGCTACATAATAAGTTCCCAGGCAGCCAGGACCACACAGGTGATTTGTGGCTCAGTGATTCCAGAGCATGAAGTGGGTATCCACAGAGAAGCTAGGGGACATTTGTGTTGCAGTAGCATTCCTCAGAGTAGTCTTGAAGTACAAAGTATCCAGATGTCCAGCATCGATGAGTGAAAAAATACAGCATGGGTGAGCCCTTTTATGGAATATCATTTAGCATTAAACAATACTTGTAATCATTTGGCCTAACTTAGCCATTTGTTATTGAAAGAAATCCCTGAAACAAACATTTAACAGGAAGAAATTGTTTGTTTTGTAATGATTTTCTGGTTTCCTGAGTTCATTGCTTTGGGTGCAAAATGAGGTAGCCTGTAGTAAAGGAAGTTCCTTTTGGAGAATTTGCTCAACTTGGGTGCAATGGGATAGCAGTGAACAATATCAGTGAACTGGTTGCCCACCATTCAATGGTCCTCTGCTGAGGAACATTCCTATACTTCACAGCCTGGATAACTTCCTATACAGGGTTAGCTAACAGGCCATGATCCCAGCGGTCTACCTGTCTATGCATTAAGTTTACAGGACAGGCAATTCAATGACTGAGCTGTCTATCTTTCATGCCCACTGTGTTCTCCTATATTCCAATAGACATTAATCTACTCAGTTGTATGCCTGGAGAGTGCTCCTTTTATTAGCATTAACTGGAACACTAAACATGTTACTGCATTACAATGTCATTGTATGTATGCATACATGTACTTGTGTGTATTCATGAGTTTGGTGTATTCAACCCTCCAATGAGAGCCCAATTTTCTACCAAACAGGAGGAAGACAACACAGATGAAAGACTGAAGCACCTGTTGAAGAAGTAAGAGATGGTCACCCAGCAAAGGGACTTGGCGGAAAAGCTGCAGGATCACTTCAATATCTCCTAAATGAGGGAGGAAATCACCTTGAGATACAGAAAACCTGAGATAAGAATTACTGAGAATCCTGACATTCAATGGAATGTGAGCTTTACAAGAACATTGAGGGTAGGGATGTTTGTGAGCAAGACGTTTTGTGACAAGTTAATGTCGACTTTTTTGGCAAGCTGACTCAGTCTTCAGTCCTCCCTACATGGTAGGAAATGTGTGATGGAGAGTGTGTTGATGTCAAGCTGTTCCAGACAGATGACATCGAAAAGTATCATGTTTCATTCTTCAGTCCAGTGTTGGCACTGACTCCATGTCTTGCACAAGTGCTGCTGAAGAGAATGTACTACAGTGATGGCGGCCATCCCTCATTCTTGATTTATCATTTTTTCCTCCATATCTAAAATGAATGGGTATTCTTCAGTTTCGTAGCCTGGACTGGAGGGACTGATCCTGAGAAAGGATTCATGGAAGATATCTGAGTCATTTTTTATGTCCTTGGGCACTCAGATGCTGCTCACAGGTTTGTTGGGTCTCTAGATAGTACACAAGTGTATGTTGGTTGAAAGAATCAAATAGTGGTCAACACAGTACAGGATTGGCAGTGGGTGATAATTTATAAAATATTCCCATAGGGTCACAAAGAATGCTCTGGGAACATGTCTCAACCTATTCTTGGTAAGGGCTTAACCTACAAAGCCTGAAGCCTGAAGGAGGCATGACTGTACTAGCTTTCAAAAGGATTTTTTACAACCATGCTTGCAAGTGCAGTCACGGGCTGAATGCCTTTGCTGCTAAATCTGTCAAAAGAGAATTATGCTAAGGTTAAGTTTTTGTTTGGATTTTGGGTCAGTTTTATTTGGTTCTCTTGTTGTGTTTGAATTTTTGCTGTTTATTTTATCTTTCTTTTGTTGTTATTTTTTTGTATTTGCTAAGCCATTCACTGTTTATATTTTATTGACTGCTCCCATTAAGCCCTTCTTGAGTGAAATGACTTTTTTATTAATAAAAATTGAAACAACAGAATTCATTTTGCCAGTTTTCCCTTTGGGGAAAAAAAGGACCCATTTAAAACATTTGGACATTGGTATGGACTGTGTTGAGTGGCAAAAGCCCCTTTTAAGTATTTGAACAGGACATGGTCACTTGAAATATCAGCTTTGGTGGTTCCTGTTTCTGGAATCGTGCCTATGCCAGTGTATTTTTCTGGAGAAATGCAACTTGTCCTATTTGCGACAAAAAGGAGACTTTGGCTCAAGTTGCATATTCAGCTGAGGCTGCTGATGTTAAATCAACAAACTGCATCACCACAGAAACAAATTGGTGCTCTGTGGATAGTGCGAGACAAGCCTCTTGTTAATATTTTTTATCATGCTACATGTGTAACATCAATGATTGTCCCTAATGTATCTGTGCAAGTGCACTTTCTAAATGCTTTCCTGAGTACATCTTGGAACGGTTGTAAACTTTATCACTGTTTTGATAATCAAATTGTAACTGCAAATCACATGCGGGTTATCCTTGTAATAAAGGAAGGCTGGTAGAATGCTATGGCCCAGATTGAGGGATGGGTACAGCGATGGAGAGGCGCTAGGTCAATGGGGGTCCTGGAAACAGTGGCAGTGGCGGTAGGCATTCTGGCTTTATGCCAAGTTCAAACGTGCCTTGTTCCAGAGGCAAGAGATCTGTCACCCAAGTATTGCTCAGCTTAGCCCATGGCAATCCCGGTAGCCATGAAATCTGGTTACAGATGATTTAAGGATGAGGTTCTTCGATGACTGGCAACCTGTGAGGAAGAGACCTCCCGCCTAAGACAGGGATTGCCAGGTCCCCAAGGACGGGCAAGGGAGGGTGACCCTACTTGACCTACGACAGGAATGCCTCATTAGAAAATATAAAAGGGGGAATTGTGGGGACAACAGACCTTGGCCAGAGACCCACTTCCCCATCAGCCTGGGACCAGGCAGCTATAAGACAATGTTTACTAAAAACATGTTTACTAAAAACAATACAACACCCAGGACAATAAGTTCCTGAAAAGGGCTTGCTCATGGGAACGCCCTGACCTCAACCTTTTCCAAAGACTAACTGCCTCTTCTGAGCCACCCAACACAGTCTCTGGTGTCAGGGCAGAACCAGCCAGGGGTAAGAGAGGGAGCAGAAGCTTTTCTGGAGGGAAGTCTTTCTTGAGAAGTCTTCTTGAGTCTTTTTGAGGCCCGCCTGCTTAAAGTTTTCTTTACATCATTGACTGGTCTCTATGTCATCAATCCCGACACCCTCCGCACATTCTCGGATACAGGCTGCGCAATGGGTGCAGCATTCCTCTATAATGAGATTGATGACTACCTTAAATGCCATCATAAAGCCTTCAATCACTAACTGATGGAAGCAGAAGGATAGATTCATAGCCAAGCACTGGACCAAATTCCTGGAATCCAGTTGTAGAGAGAGAGTAGTGATGAGCAAAAGTGACAAGATCATGCTGGGAAAACCCACAGAAACCGCTGATTTGAGCAAGTGGGAGCTCACAGACTCCAGACTGACAGCTGGAGCACCTGCATAGGACCATACAAACCCCCATGAACTTGGATGTCTACTGGGGGCTTGGGCAGTCAATGAGGCGGCTGGCAGTGGAACCAGTATTTATCACTAGTACATGTATGGGAGCCCATTCCCTATGGAGGGATACTGTCTCAGCCTAGATATATGGGGAAGGGCCTACGTATTGCCCCAGATAATGTGACAGACTTTGATGATCCCCCATGGGAGGCTGCCCACACCCTGAGGAGTGAATGGGGAGTGAGATGGGGGTCGGTGGTGGGGAATGAGAGGGAGATGGAACTGGGATTGGTATGTAAAATAAGATTGTTTTTAATTTAAATAAAAATAGTTTAAAAGCATGCAACAACATGGATTGTTTAGGGTCCCTATAGGACCAATTTGGCCAACAATGCAACTGGATTTAATCCATTCCCAGTACTGGAAGCCTCATTTGGTCACAAGAAATATCAAATTGGGTATCTGTCTTCCTACAATTTAGGTTTTGTTTACCTGCATTTGCTATTTCATCTAGATCACCATTGTGTATGTATATATTTTTGAGCTTTTCTCTTCTATCAGGTTTCCATAAGATCCCTCATATGGTCCTTGATTTTAGTTGTCCCTCCCTATATTTATTCACTTGCCCTATATTTATTCTCTCTCCCTCCTCATTTGACCATCTTGTTCCAGACTCCATCCCTTATCCTTTCATTCAGTATATTGTATCCCCTTTTATGGAGAACTGTTCCGTCCCCTAGTCCCTTACTCTATACCTAACAGTGGTTATACAGATTGTAACTTAACAGCTAACATCCACATATAAGTGAAAATATACCACATTTGTCTTTCTGGATCTGAGTTATCTCAAGACAACTTTTTCTAGTTCCATTCATATTTACATGTTAATATCATGATTTCCTTTTTAAGTAATAGATCACTGTGTAAATATACCACATTTTCTTTATATGTTCACCTTTTGAGGAACACCTAGGTTGTCTCTAACATCTTGCTATTATAAACATAGCAGCAACAAACATGGTTGAGCAAGTGTCTCTGTGATCGGAGAAGGATCCTTTGGCTATATTCCAAGAGTGATATATCTGGGTCTTAATCGATTCCAAGGTTCCAAAGGAACAGAGACACTTATTTCCATAGTGGCTGTGCAAATTTGCATTCCTACCAGCAATGGACAACGGTTTCCTTTACACCGCATGCTTACCAATATTAGCTGTCATTTGTTTTATTAATCGTTTCTATTCTGACTCTTTTAATATGAAATCTCAAAATAGGTTTGATTTGCATTGCCCTGATGACTAAGGATACTGAACATTTTAAAAGTGTTTCCCAGACATTTGTATTTCCTCTATTGGAAATTCTTTCATTTTCTTTTTCCCCTCCCTCCCTCCTTCCCTCCCTCCCCTCCCTCCCTCCCTCCCTCCCTCCCTCCCTCCCTCCCTCCCTCCCTCCCTCCCTCCCTCCTTTCTTTCTTTCTTTCTTTCTTTTGTTTCTTTGAAGCTTTGGTGCCTGTACTGGAATTAGCTCTGTAGACCAGGCTAGCCTCAAATTCAGAGCTCCCACCTGTCTCTGCATCCCAGATGATGGGATTAAAGGCATGGGCCACAACCATCAGGCAGATATTTGTTTTCTTGATGTTTAGTTTTTTGGTTCTTTATATATTTTGGATGTTAGTCCTCTATTGGATATGTAGCTTGTAAAAATCTTTTCCATTTTGTCAACTGCCATTTTAGATAAAATACTATTAGTGACAGATTAGATATGCTCTATGGGTGAGCTCACAATGTTGGCAGAGACAAATAAGTTAATAGAATTCATTAAATTTATTAAATGAAAGACACATATATATATATAATATATTCTTTATATCAACAATTAAGTGGATATACTTGAAAATATTTTTACTTATTCCTTGAGAATTTCATAGAATGAGTTTTGATCATATTCACCCCCGCATCTCAACCCATTTATTTGCTCCAAATCTGTACCCACATCTGTGATGTCCAACGTTGTATCTTCTTCATTAAATGACTTTTTAATAACATCAAGGGAAGAATTTGAAGGAAACTGACTCTCCCTCTTCCAGAAGCCATTGTTTCTTCTTAACTCATCTGTTAGAATTAGGGTCTCATTCCCCCTTCTGACTCATGCTAGATAGTGTACAAGTGATCACAGCTGGTGAGTCATGAGTAAAGCCACCCTGTCATGGTCTGAAGGACTCTTCACTCTAATCCTCCCTGACTTCTGAGTTCTATAATATTTCTGCTCCATCTTCCATGATGGTCTTTGAGCCTTGGGTAAAGGGTGTGATACAGGTGTCCCATTAATCAGTTGATGAATTGGTGAAATAAAAACAAAAATACAAAGATACTGTTATATAAAGTGTCAGTTCTTTGAAAGTTTCAAGAAGGTGGGCACACCTTTTAGCTAAATTAACCAAAAGGAAGAGGAGGGTGCAAATAATAAGACAACGGAGGAAAAAGGAGACACAGAGAAAATTCAATCCTTTGAAATTCAAATTCATCCAAACTGGTAAAATCTTTTTAAAAATTGATGAATTTCTATATCTATATGAACTATGAAAATTAAATCAAGATAACATGAATAATTTTACCAGTCCCATACTAACCAATGATATAGAGGCAGGAAATAAAATCTCCCAACTAAAGAAGCCCAGAGCCAGATGGATTCAGTATAGATTTTTAACTAGACATTTAAAGAAAAATTCACATTCTCAGAGTATCCCATAAAATAGAAAAAGAAGGACCTCATCCAAATTCTTTTAAGGCAATACTACCCTGATGTTGAGAGAGAGATAATCATAGAGAACCATAGACCAATTACCATGATGAACATGTACATACAAATTCTCAGTAAAATACTAGGAAAAACAAATTAAGGATATCATCAAAATATCATCCACCACAGTCAAGCTGTTTTCACCTCAGACTTGCAAGGATAATTCAA